TCGGAAGGAAGGTTGGGCAATCCTACTTCCGTAGTGATACTGCCTCGGAAACCCAAGGAGGGGTCGCTATGAGTCAGGGCCGACTCGACGGCATATAACAACAACAACAACAACATACTGAACATATTGGACATTTCTATCACTGCAGAATGTTCTACTGCACAGCACTGGTCTGGTGATTAAACGGGATTTAAGAGACTTAATAATCAAATGCCATGTGTGGATTTGTTTCAATCTCAAACAAATAAATAACATCAAATAACAAAAAAAAATTAATACTTTTTTTGAATTAAAGGGAAAATTTTAATATAGTCTGGGAATTAGAATATTAAGGAATTAATTGCTAACAATAGTGTATGGTAAGGTATCGTGTTATATATGGAAATGTTCTTGTTTTGGAGTTACAGCTGGAAGTATGTAAGAATAAAATATTATATTATTTGGAATTTGCTTTAAAATACTTCATAAAGTAGATGAAACAGATATAGTAAAATGTTAATAACTTAAACCTAGATAATGGCATATTTTCTTTATTCTACATATATTTGAAATTTATCATAATAAAATGTTAACTTATAGTTTCTTTCACTTCTAATATAAAAACAGCAAATGTAACATACACATGTGTATGCATGTGCATTTGTATGTACATTAGATGGCAAGTCAAAACGGTCTATAGGTCTCAAAAGCAGTAATATTGCTCTGCCTAAAATGCTATGACCACAATCTAGTCAGGGATGATTAAAAACGAAATGGCAAAGCAACACAGAATTGTGCAGTCACTACAGTTTTCAATATAAAATATAATGACTTCACTATTTTACTGCTGAAATTGTTCTTGTACTACCTAAATTTATTTAGATAAGTGGAATGACAGACAGTCAATTGTACCTTAAAATTGGCAGATATTTTAAGTTTGAGAAGTATCCAAATTTTAAAAAATTTTGGGTAATTATATTTCAGTCTTAATTAAAAGTACTATGACAAAAATGTCTAGATGATTTGCCTAAAATCCCATTTAAAATCTGATATAAGCATAAATCAAAAAGTTATAGATTATATAAAGTACTTGTAAGTTGAATAGCCAGATCATTTAACAAACGAACAATGTGTTCAATAACACTATATGTGATAAATCTGCCTAAGTTAGATCAGATTGGATTATCAAAGGAAATATCTGAAATAAGTCTTAAATTTATCACATTGCATAAAAACATGTATTCTGTCAGACCATGATTATATGCAATATATGATTCAATACTTAGAATCATTTGATGTATTTTGCAATATTTATCATAAACAATTGAAACATTTTAGAAATCAGACATTTCTAAGCAATCAGAAGCTAGATCCCAGTGGCAGCAGGGGAAGAAGATACTCAGTGTGTCATTCATTCATTTACTGAGTATTTCTTAAAAGGAATTAGTTATCTATTACAGCATATTATTAAAATATGCTCAATCTGTATCAATCAGTAAACTATATATATCTACATGTAGTATAGATAAAAGCATTCATTCTAAAATTAATTTTTAAGTTCAGATATTCACTTTGGTAGAATTGAGAAATACCTTCACCATGTGCTATGCATAGGTGGCTTAACTTCAGTATATAACTGTCAGAATCTATAAAGTACCAAATAGGCTAGAAAATATAGACTGATAAAGCAGATTTACTATTAATTTGAGTTTCAGAGGTAATCAATATTTATTAAATTAAGTATCAATATATTAATAATAAAGTTCCATACTGATAATTTGTTAAGAAATGCAATAGCATTATAAACTTTAATATAAAAAATTAGCTAACCTGTTTTTCATAAATACTGACATTCTTGCCAAATTTTATATAATATACATTTTATATTAGCAGGATGTTCAGCTCTAAATAGTTATAGCTAAACATTATTTGATTAGGCCCAAAGCTATTAGGATTTAATTATAGAAAACTTTCAACTTATGCAATGATAACTGTCCCAAAATATATTTACATGCTTTTCCTTAGCAACTTAGAATGCAGTTTTTCTATAATGTTATAAATACAGGTTAGGTCCCAATACAAAATATACATAACTTAATCTAGCTTAATTACTGATAACAAAACATCAAACCAGTTTCTATCAAATCAAGTCTGACTCACGACCACCCCATGTGTGTCAGAGCGGAGCTGTACTCCACGGAGTGTTCTGTGGCTGAATTTTCAGAAAGAGATTGTCAGGCCTTTTTTCCTGGGAGCCTCTCGGTGGATTAGAAACACCAACCTTCTATTTCTTGAATCACTTCTGACTCACGATGACTCCATGAGTTACAGAGTACAGCTGCTCCAGAGGGTTATGTGTGTGTGTGTGTGTGTGTGTGTGTTTTGGTTGTAATCTTTATGAAAGTAGATTTCCAGGTCTCTTTTCCACGGTCCTGCTGGGTGAGTTTGAACTGCCAACCTTTTGGTTAGTAGTTGAGTGCAAATCATCTGCGTCACCCAGGGACATTTCTAAAGCAATGGTAAACCAAACCAAACTCACTACCATCCAGTTGATTCTGACTCATAGCAACCCCCTCTGGGTTTCTGAGGTGGTACATCTTTATGGAAGCAGATTGCCCAGTCTTCCTTCTGCTAAGTGTCTAGTGGGTTTGAACCACCAAATGCCTTACTTAGGTGTTGACACTGGTCATATGTGGTCAGTCATCATCAATATTTCACTTCATCATGCTTTGTGAACCTGCTACAGTAAAAATCTCCAGCATGTCTCATATGATAGTGACAATAAAGTAGTCAAATTCCTTAGGTGTACTGGTAGTATTAGTCAAATTCTATGTTCTGGAAACCAGAAACCAAACTCATTGCCACTGAGTGAATTCAGACTCATGGCAACCCCCACTGGGTTTCCAAGGCTGTAAATCTTTACGGAAGCAGAATGCCTCATCTTTCTTCTGTGGAGCAACTAGTGGGTTTGAATCACTGACCTTTTGGTTAGTAGCCAAATGCTTTAACCACTGCACCATCTGAGATCCTCCTGGAAACCAAGGGTCAGGTAATTCAGGAAGGAAAATGAAAAGTCAGGACCACCTATACATAAGATTTTGAAATGGGTGACCTCTTCCTTGACATCTTTCTTATCCCTCTGTGTCCCTCTTATGAGCTCTGGTGGCATAGTGAGTGCCTAAGGCATTTGGCTGCTAACCAGGCAGTTCAAACCCTCCAGCTGAAACAAGATGCGGCAATCTACTTCTGTAAAGATTTACCACCTCAGAAACCCAATGGAGGTTGCTATGAGTCAAAATGGACTTGATGGCAATGAGTTGGCGTTTCTGTTTTATTTTATTTTTCTTATGTCTCAGTAGAATGCTGTCTTTTCCTTATATCCCAATCTTTGCGATACTTGGAGTCTTCGCCACAAGGGCCCTACTCAAGCCTGATTGGTTCAACAACTCTCCAGATTCTCCACAAAGTACTAATTTTCCCTTTTGCACGCTATAGGCAACAGTCGTTTCTTTTCAAAACAGTTGAATCAGAGAGAGGCCACTAGGAAAGTGTTCTGATTGAATTCATGAACAAAATATGCCTACAGTCCTTTCTGCTCTGTTTGTATTATTATTAAGTACACCAAGTATAAGGAGCCCTGGTAGTGTACTAGTTAAATGCTTGACTGCTAACAGAAAGGCCGGCAGTTCGAACCCACCAGCTATTCCGTGGGAGGAAGATTTGGCAGTCTGGTTCCATAAAGATTATAACCTTGGAAAATCTATGGGGGCAGTTCTACTGTGTCCTATAGGGTTGCTATGAGCTGGAACTGACTCCTCAACAGCAAGTTTGGTTTTTGGTTTATACTAAGCATCACAAATAGACTTCTAATTGGTGGGCTATCAAGGTACTATTAAAAGAAGAACTTTTAAGATTCTCACAATTTAGAGGAAGAAGGCCTACTGCAATGAAAACAAAGCCCTTTAAGCAAGCTTCTCAATGTATACCATCCTAATTGAGTGTCTTTCCCTTACAGAATCAAATATAACTTGCCACTTCTGAGCAGGGTTTATGGCGTGTCCCTCAGTGCAGCACCAGGGCACAGAGGGAGAGCTCTGCAGGTGGCTGACTATTGGGCTATTTACTGTTGGGAGCTGCTTTAAATAATTTGGGAGAGCAAATTTGCATTCTTATTTACATATGGCTCAGGATTAATACAAAATTTGTTGTATTTCATCAGCATATACCCACTCCAGAGTTACAAGGAAAATCTCTTTTGATATTAAAACCTGACAGCAGATGGCCAACTACAGATTATCCACACAACGTTGACTTTCTTATCTTGATAGTCAAATCCAGTCCATGGTGACCCCTGTGTGTCCGAGAACTGACTATACTCCACAAAGTTTTCAATGGCTAATTTTCAGAAAGTAGATTGCCAGAAATACTTTTCAGACGAATAAGATAAACTCTTTGACATATTCAATAATAATAATAATAATAATAATAGAAAGTAGATCACCTTTCTTTTGAGTGTCTCTGGGTGGACTTGTACCTCTAACCTTAGCTACCAAGGGTGTTAACCTTGGTTAGCAGCCACAGCTATTAACTACACAGACCTGGGACACTGACAGTCAAATAAATTGCCATTATTTTCTATGTAGCTAATTTCAAACTTCTTTTAAAATCTGAACAATATTCAAGCTTTGATTACTTAGTCATAGGAAGTAAAAAACAAAAGTTTTGGAACAAAGTATAAGCTACATAGATATAAGATGATTTAAACACAGAAGAAGGAGGTGTTGACACAGGTTATACATGATCAGTCACCATCAATATTTCACTTCATCATGCTTTGTGAACATGCTACAGTAAAAATCTCTAGGATGTCCCATATGACAGTGACAATAAAGTTCTAGAGTTTTACATATCAAGAAATTGTTTAAAAGCATCACTCCCCTATGCATTAAAAAAAAAAAATGCAAGATGATCAATTTTTCAATGAATCAATTTGAAGATACCAATGTCAGAATAGTAATTACCTGCAAAGGACTCGCCAAGGACCTGTTTTTAGGAGCCGTAAATGCTTTGAGGACATGGTCTTCGTCTTCTGATACTGGCGTCATTAAAACGGAACTTGTGAGAATATTCTACAGGGAAAGAGAAAAATCTGAAATTTAAATGAGGTTGGAAAATATGAGTGCCAACACAATTTTAACAATTTAGGGAGTAGATTACAATGAGGTGATACACATTAGTGTGAAAAAATGTAAGTATCTGTCAGAAATTCTCTTCTCTATGAGCTAAAAGGAAAACTCAGTTACGTGCTCACTCTAATTACCATTGTGGCAAACATAGCCATAACTCTGGGCATGTAACAGCCATAGAACAAACATCTGTTAAACTAATGAATACAGGTTCGTTTTTGTTTTTTTTTAAATGAAAGATTTAGCTCTGGTAGCACAGTACCTAAGGCACTTGACTGCTAACCAGAAGGCTGGCAGTTCAAACCCACCAGCCACTCCTTGGAAGGAAGGTTGGGCAATCTACTTCCATAATGATACTGCCTCAGAAATCCAAGGAGGGGTCACTATGAGTCAGGTCTGACTTGATGGCACATAACAACAACAACAACAACATTGGGAAAACTATTATTTCATATATTGGTACAGAAATATTTTAGAGCTATAAATTAATGACAGTACAGTATAATGGTTAGAAGAACTCAGGTTTTCTGAGTTCTAAACAAGCATTACCACTTATAAGCTATGTAACTTTGAGCAAATATCTACGCCTCCCTGTGCCTCAGCTTCCAAGTTGGCATAATGGGCATGATAACAGTCCCAATGTCATAAGGTGGTTGTGAGGATGAGCTGTGTTAATACATCTACAGTCCTTAGCACAGTACTTGGCACTTAGTATTTGCCTAATAAATATTTGAAACAGTTATTAGCTCTGATTCTCTATGAGATAAGGACAACCGTTCATAAATTACAAACTTAAAGTCAGACTTCCTGAATTCCCAAGCTTTTTAAATGGTGGTAACCAGAGCAACTTAATATTGTGTACAATACTGGGCATTGACTGTGAACCAAGCACTGTGGTTGGCACTATGTGAGAAGCTACCTAACACCAAGGAAGAGACTAACAAGAAAGCAACACCAAATTTAGGAGACAGATCAATCAATTAAAGAAAGTTAAAAAATTTCATTTTTATGGAAATATGTATATTCATGTAGTAGAGTTTTCAAGTGAGAAGAAATCTCAAATCATAAGAAAACAAAGAAAGAAAAAGTCTGTAGTGGGACAGAACCTGTTGATATTATATCAATAAAACCTCAACTTTCTATTCAACACTTTAATAATCACATAAGAAGATAATCATGTGATAAAGACTATTCAGAAATAGGATGTAGTCGATGCACTAAGGAGTGCTGAAGTCATAGTGGCCCTTCATGCCACACACTGAATCTCACGGACACTAACAGAAAGGGGCTCGTGCTATACACTTACTGGCACATCTGCCACAGGCGACAACTGCGTGAACAGCTGAGTGTTCAGACTCTCCCCTTCCCAGTGGTTTGAGCAGAAGAAGTTTCCCACTTTATCAGTTGGAGATTCCACCTAACAGCAAACAGGAAGTATTTAGTTGTCCTAAAACTTCTTATGAAATATTTATACTCTAGGGTAAATATCTGGCCAGTCTCTCAAACATTTACTCTAAAATGAAAATGAATTCAAGAGGTTTTATACATAACCTGTTAGAAATGCCACGTGCCACCAAGCTAAAATTTTGATCTTTGCAAGCTAGATTCACCCACTTTTACACACATAGACCCACATACCCTAAGGAGTCCCTGCGTGGTAGACAGTTAAGAGCTTGACTGCTAATAAAAAGCTTGGCAGTCTGAACCCACCCACCGGTGCCTCAGAAGGAAGGTCTGGTGATCTGCTTTCAAAATACCCTAGTCATGAAAGCCCTATGGAGTACAATCTACTCTTCAACACATGAGCTTGCCATGAGTCGAAACAGAATCGATGGCAACAATTTTTTTTTTTTTTTTTTAACTCTACCTAAATGAGCAGACTTTCTCTCAACTACTTTGGTCATGTTGTCAGAAAGGACCATTCCCTGGAGAAGGATATCATGCTGGATAAAGGAGAGGGTCAACAAAAAAGGGGAAGGTGCCCAACGAGATGGACTGACACAGTGGCTGCATCAATGGGCTCAGATACAGCCAGGATTGTGAGGCTGGTGCACGACTGGCACTGTTTCGTTCTGTTGTACACAGGGTCACTATGAATCGGAGTCGACTTGACAACACCTAACAACAACAAAGCGGGGATACAAAGTCTAGTAAAAAGCTACCTGGCTTCTTCCTTTCTTTCCCTCTCTAGCATGGTCTGTGTCCAAACATGAAATGGATAGAGGTGGCTTGGCTTCCCAAAGGAAAGGTCATCAGATGCCTACAGTCAGGCAGAACCTTTTAACCACATAATCTTACATGAAAATTCTGTAAATGGTGCATGGCACAGATGCCAGGCACCATTAAGTGAACAGCATGAAGAGCAAGGTGAGCAGGATTCACCACCCGGTCCTTCCAAAGGATCTCACGTTTACCTCTTGTTTGATTTTCTTCAGTAAAGGGGGTCCATTTTCCTGAAATTCAGCAACAATTCCAGATTCATCAGATTCTTGTTTGATCACATCCTGTATGTCTTCTACTAGATGGGACGGGGTCTGAGGCTGAAGGGAAGAGGGCATATTTTTGCATCAGAGGAATATTTCTGTCTATGAGAATTAGCCAACTAAGCCCAAGAACTCTTCTGAAACTTACTAGCATCTTCAGGGGACCGTATTTAATTTCTTGAGCGGCAAGCGCATGTTTGAATGGTGTAGGAGTTCTTGGAGAGCTTTCGAGGATTGACCTTTTGATAGCTGGAGTTCTAAAACTTTAAAAAGGAAAAAAAGCTGTTCAGTATAAGAAAACCTATGTCTCTTACATTGTTCTACCTATTAAATTTAGTATTCTTCTACTGAATAAACTCTCCTTGTTAGGGAGTTGGGTATGCTGATTGACCACATACATTGATTAAGAATAAGATAATAGGCACATGGCATACTTTCAAATATTTCAAAATACTGTACCCCTAAGACAAAGTACATAAAACTATTTTAAATCTTTTTTTAATAGTTCTGAGAACACATCATACTCCTAGGTCTTTATAATAACCATGCCCATTATGAAGATCTAATGCTATTTACAAATCAATTTTATCTGTTCCTTAACACAGAGCCCATATTTAAAATAAAGAAACCACCATGTTAACTTTTAAAATTTACTTCTGGTACTTGGAAATAATAAGAATGAACTTACTTGAGAGGTATTTTATAACTCATACTGACTTTCTCTACCCTTTGTCTGAATTGGTGGTTTAGTGACTACTGATGACTGCTTCATCAGCCCATGGCTTCTAATCATATAATATTCCTGGAGATGTTACAAGAGGTCTTGTCTACATAGTGACCCCTCCTTGGGTTTCCTAAGCAGTATCTCTACGGAAGTAGATTGCCCAACCTTTCTTCTGAGGAGTGGCTGGTGGGTTTGAACCGCCAGCCTTCTGGTTAGTAGTCAAATGCTTTAGGCACTATGCCACCAGAGCTCCATATATAAACTTCAAGGAGGAAAACTATGATTTTAAAAAAGTGAACCATACTCATTTTTATTCTGAAGCTTATTATCTAGTTAAAATTGAAGATTTAAAATCTCATTTTCAGTGAAGAAGTAAAGATCTTATCGAATGAAAAGGAAATGATACAAAAACAACCTCTGCATAACATAGGAAATTTTGGAACGGAGGACAAGGGATAATTTAGTCTATCTTTCCACCTTCTACCTCTTGGTGGTGTTAACATGCCCAGGACAGAAACATTCCACATAGGAATAGACACTATTTTTTACACATTGTTGTTGTTGTTATGTGCCGTCGAGTCGGACCCGACTCATAGCGACTCTTCCTTGGGTTTCTGAGGCAGTATCACTACAGAAGTAGATTGCCCCATCTTCCTTCTGAGGAGTGGCTGGTGGGTTTGAACTGCCAGCCTTCTGGTTAGCAGTCAAGTGCCTTAGGCACTATGCTACCAGAGCTCCCTTTTTTACACATATGTGCATTAATAATGTAGACTAAGATATTCAGGGGCTATATTCTCTTCATTAAGTAAGATAAAGAATTGTATTCTTGAACCAAGCACTCACATGGTATTTTCCTTTTGAGTCTTCACAGTCTGATCTCTATGCAATGGTGTTGTAACAGTCAATTTGTGACCACTGAGAGGGGTGGAAGTTAAAGAAGGCATTTCCATGTCTAAGTTTTCATGGTTACTGGAAGTGTTTAGGAACTAAACATGGAGAGAAATAAAAGATTTACTTCAACTAAACAGCAATTCTTTATTTGACCCAATTTTAGAAAACTACACCTTGATAACAAACATGTTTTACTGACCCACAAGATAAGATAGTAAAGACATAGTAGAATACTAAATAAAACTATCCAACAACATAGTGTTGGATAGAGTGATAATTTATTTCAGTTGAGCACACATAACATTTGGAGTGTGATTTCCAAGAAATAAAATCTAGCATCGATGCTGAAAACCTTGCAAAATCCTAATATTCCCAATAAATGACAGTTGCCATTAAAGAGAATGAGGTGCACACTTTATTAATGTTGAAAAGGTTAAAGGAGTTTTTAAGAAAATTGTTGGAATTTTCTTTTACACTCTGTTTTTTCTCTTTAATGCTCTTTGAATTAAAACTATTACTAGAGTAAATCAAAACCAAAACCAAATCCGTTGCCATTGAGTCGATTCCAACTCATAGCAATCCCCATTGAGTTTCTGAGGCGGTAAATCTTTACAGAAGTATATTGCCCCAGACTTGCTTCCACGGAGTGGCTGGTGGATTTGAACCACTGGCCTTCTGGTTAGCAGTCAGATATCTTGGGCACTGTGCTACCAGAGCTCCATTATTAGAGTATGTTTACATTATGTGGAAGATTCTTGGATAATAAGCTGTGTTCTGGGAAAATAAGAGTTGCTTCTGAAACTAATGATTCCAAGGACAAGTAAGTTTGGGAAAGACAGAATATTATAGTCTCCTCCTACAAATTCATAATGCTCATCAGTGTATTAAAAACTCAGAGAGGTCTCAAGTAAAGAAATCAATTTTTAAATTAGTTTGATTCTTTGTTTCCCAAACTCATATATGTACATATTTATATGTTTTCTTGGAACATCTATTAAAGTCTTGCAGAAATAATATTCTGCATAACACAGTTTGGAAAATATTGGCAAAAAACAAGATAATTTTTGGTGGGGCATCACACATTTATGCTTAAAGCCATGGTTAAACCAAACTCAACAGTCATATTTTGGAAAATGTTTTGAAGTGGCAAATTATTATTATAATTTATTAATATAAATTACATTAATATTTTTATATAATTAATATAAATTATTAATACAATCAGTATAAATTATATTAATAATTTGGGAACAGAAGTCTCTAAGAAGAATTATAATTTCCATGCCTTAAAAAAAATTACATGACAAAAGATTATTCTTTGGCAAAAATTGTGCTAATAAAATATTATAGCCCTAGCATAGGAGCTGTGGTAGCATAGTGCCTAAGCACTTGACTGCTAACCAGCAGGCTGGCGGTTCAAACCCACCAGCCACTCCTCAGAAGGAAGATGGGGCAATCTACTTCCATAGTGATACTGCCTCGGAAACCCAAGGAGGGTTCGCTATGAGTCGGGTCCAACTCGACGGCACATAACAACAACAGTCAAACAAGCCAATGTTGAGAAATTTAAATGAAGACATTTTAAGTATTCCTTAAGCATTTGTTCCTCATTCTCTTCTGAAACATTTCCACTCATAGATGGATCAGAACCTTGAAATCAACGAGCTTTTAGTTAAAATCCAAATGTTATCAAAACATCGTTCGGTTCCCTCCTCCCCTGGGTCAGTGAATCAATCACATAAGAAGTGAACAAAGATGCAGAAAAAAATGTTAAAATTTTAAAGGGGAGGGGAGGGATGAGAGAAGAAGAGACAGAAATATTAAACTCTAGTGGTGAAGAAATGAAAGCACATGCCATGCAACTATCCATCTTACAAACCACCAAAGAGTAAGAGAAGTCATTAGCAACAACAACAAAAAAATCAGCAATGAACCTGCAGGCAGCCTACACTTTGGGAGGTAGTCTGATTTAGCAACAGCTAGATTCAACAATGGAGTGAAATCAGTAGGGCAACAGTAATTAGTCATTTGTTCCAAAGGATTAGTTTCTAGATTATTCAGGCTCAGGTGTCTGTTGAAAATTAGTAACATCTGTGCATAAATTGTGATCTACCTGTGAGGGAGAGAAGGGTAGGCTTTTGACAGGGGAACGCTTGGGAGTTGAACTGCTGACATCAGCAAATATGAAGGAGCTAGAGTCTCCAGTGGCTGAGGGGCTGGCTCGCCCTCGCCTTTTTCGAAGGATGACCAGTGGAATTGTGCTGTGCCTTGTAGAAGGGAAGGGCTTGGGTGGGTCAAGTGAGCCCTCACTCAACGTGCGTTTGTTCAACCTCGTGCTAGGCTCTCCTGCAGGTCTATTCACAGTGCCCTCTCTTTGCTGAAGCTGTAGGGCTTTGCCTGCATGGTGTTGGCTAGGTGAAAGAGCTGCTTCTTCAAAGAATTCAAAACTGCTGAGATCACACCATGATGAAGAATCCTGAAACAATGTGGGAGGCACAGAACTTTGAGACAGTGTGTGTGTGGTATGTGCCATCACCTGCAACAGCACCGAGAGGCTAACTGCAAAGAGAACCCCTGGCCTGGCTGACTTCTTGAGAACCAGCTTCCTGGTTACAACTGTTCTGTTGCACTGCTTTAGAGGGTCTACTGTGTTGCTTCATGGTTGGTCCTAGATGTGGGTTGCAGGGACCTCCTGGCACTCTGTCATTTGCATGCAATCTAAAGCAAAAGGAAAACCTTTTCTCAACAGCATCTTACTGGCAATAGTCAACCCCTATCTAATGGGTACGCAATGAATGCTCTTTAACCAACTGGGAAGCCAAGGGAGTTAACTGAGTGCCTGCTCATGAGGTCCTGAACCTAATTTGTCTCATTAAAGATGACTTGACTTGGTGGACCAATTGGGTAATCAATCATCAGCGTTTGGAGAGAAAGCCATATAGTACCACCAATGTACTGATAACCACTTCAAATACATCAATTTAAGCTCTGAGTAAACATACTTCTATGTTTATCATAGAATATTGCAAAGCAAAGTTCTAGAGAAGCACAAAATAATAAACAAAGTAAAAAAAAAATATATAACCCAAACATCATTCCCATTAGCCAAACTCTGCTTATAAGTTAATATCTTTACTATTAAAAAAAATATGCACTTTGGAGGAAAAATGTGAAAAATTACCTTTTATCACGGTAGCCTATGAAATCATACTTTTGAGAAAACAACTATATATACTAAGACTAAAATCATACTTTTACCTTTACATTAATGTATGCTAATAATATGATATTTGCTACAGAAAATGGCAATGACTTCAGAAACGGGCTTCCTATTCCGCCTTCCAAAAACATTCACTTTTCTTAACCAGTCTACTTACAGAATCTATAAATTGGAGTGTTTCTGCAAATTCTAAGAGGTTCTTAACATTGTCCAGAATAGTGCCTTGGTGGACGATCATGCACCTTGCTGGAGATGCACTTTCTTCCGGTAAGGAGCCAGGATCCACCGGCAGAGATGGAGTTGAGTGGTGCTCTCCCAAACAGGAAACAGGTGCACTGTCTCCATGAGGTCTGCTGTGGTCGGCGACGGTGCTGCTGTGCCACCCAGGGTAGCTGCATGTATGGTTCTGGGTCTAAGGAAAGGAGGGGGGTGGCGAGAAATAAAGAAAGAGCGGGGAGAAGAAAGGGAGAAGGAACTTAGCAATGAAGTTGCACAAGGTATCAGATGCTGTTGGAGGGAAGATAAAAGCAGTTGCATCATCCAGAACTTATGCCTATGAAACAGTTGTCAAGATGTTTCCTTTTATCAATGCAAGACCCTGCTTTTTAATAGTGGTATAGTTTGTCATCTACATGATAACCTTAATTGCTATCATTTTGTTAAAATTTCAATTAATGGGACTATGTTACAAAGTACAGATGTCATAGGAAGTGTCTTAAAAATTCACTTTAACATAATTTCCAGAAGGTCCATAAACTTTTGCTGTGAATTAAGAATTGTCCTATTTGCTTTCTAACCTACAAAAAGGCCACAGGATTCAAGAACTAGAGTGGCTTTCATCTGCATTAATGCATTGCTTTTATCACCTTCTAATGGTACAGATTTGCACGGAGGCAGTGAAGGGCCACCAACTCAACGTGGTTTGGAAAGCAGAAGGCCAAGTTAACAGAAGTCTCCTTTCAGCATGATCATGCAACAGGAGAAATTGCAAAACATCAGCTAAAGTTAAAAAGTGGTCGAGCTAACATATCATGCACATAATCATTTTATTATTTAACGAAAAGAAATTCACTCCTAAGAATACCTACTGGGTATCACTTCTCTTTAATTCTCTTTGTTGGTTAGCTACATATGTTACAAAGTACAAGCTGCATTCCCAGTGTGCTGCCCAGTCACTAAAAAAAAAATGCCAGAATTCAGTCGTGGCCCACAGAGCTTCCACGCATGCACAAAAGAGAGTGGCTCAGGTTATTTAGGGAGGAGGTACATCTTGTTTTACGTCTATATACTGAACATGCACCAAATCAAGGTTGAAATTGTAAAGTACGAAAAACTAGGTTAAGAAAAATAATAGAAAAAGAAAAAAATCAAATGAATTATAGGCACCATATCTTCATTATAGGATGCATAGCCTTTTAAAAAATGTCGACATTCATTCTTTTTTCTTTTTTGCTAGTCTTTGAATTGATTATAGTTCTCCTGAAAGGGGGAAAAAAAAATCAATGATGACAATGCCAAGTGGACACTTTGATGCTGTTGCATTACAAAATTATATCCAATTTAGTCAACACACCTTCTTGTACCAACTACGTTTTAATTACGAGCAACTTTTTGTGTTTAAATATTGTTCGTGGGAACACAGGGCCTTGATTAGGATACTATTTAGAAGAGAAGAAGAAGGATAAAGAACACCCAGTGCCTGGGTGAAGCTGGCATCTGCCCCAGCCCCAACCCGTTCCAGCACAGAGTGACATTCTTACTGGGAGTGCCTGCTGGCCTTTTAGCTCATTCTCTGTTGACATTAGGAGCAATTCTAATTCCTTTATTCGCTTTTCTTTCTCAGGGTCTTCATCATTATAGTGTCTCTGAAATTAAAAGGTGAGGGAGAAAGAGAAAAGGGTCTGATTGGAAGTTGAAAACAATGGTGAATACAATCTACAGTCATGAAGTGCTGCACACAGACCGGGCTTCCTTGAGGACACCAACATCAACCAAATTTGGCCCCTACAGAAATCTTCATGAACGTTAGTCAAGACTGAAGGGACTAAGGTGAAATCCGAGGCTGCAGCGGATGCTACCGCTGAGCTGCTCCAATGGGTCAGAGAATCGGAGAATGGCAGAGCAAATTCACTCCAGAAGCAAAGACTGAGCTGGTTGACCAGAACTCCACCCTTCCTCCCACTATTCCTTTCTCTTTTTACTTCAGTTGACCAGGCAAAAATAGGTATTTAGATGAAAGCAAGAAAGCATTTCTTAAAATTGTGCCTTGAACAGCCAACAAGTTTCTTTAGGCAATGATCTTACCTGAATGGCTGCAGCAGCTGGCTGAGGGACATTGACTATATTTACATGTAACGCTACAGGATATGGAACATGACCGGGGACCTGGATCAAAACGGCAAAACAAAGGCCAAGTCATTCACGGCTACATATGCTCCAGGGGACTTGACTTCCTGAGGTTTAACTCTAGGATTGAGAAAATAATGCTTTACTGATAAAATTCACTAAGCAATAGAAAACACTCTAATTGGAAATTTAATCAGTCATTTTAAAGTGACTACAACACCAAACCAAAAAAAAAAAAATCAAATACACTGCCATGGAGTAGATTCCAACTCATAGAAATCCCCATTGGGTTTCTAAGGCAGGAAATCTTTACAGAAGTAGATTTCCCCACCTTCTTTCCATGGAGCAGCTGGTGGGCTTGAACCACTAACCTTCTGGTTAGCAGTCAAATGCTTTAGGCACTGTACCATGACAGTTCCTTAGCTAAAACAGTGAGAGAAATTTGAAATGTGCATCAATCCTGGCAGGAAGTACTTATTAATTAGGGAATAACAATAGAAAATAGAATCTAAAATGTATTCACTAATGTATACGAAAGAAGTTTTGGTAGGAAAAATTGATGGTACTATCTGTTTGTAAATAAAAACATTTTTCTTAAAATAATTATGGGTTTTAATAAAGAACACAGAACCTCTCATGACAGTTCATTCACCTAAGACTTTTCTCAGGTGCATGAAACAGATACAGACGAGTAAACACTGTTTATGAACATGTTTTGCATAGATTTTGCATATAGGGTAACTTTCATCATTGACTATTGTTAATCTTAAGATGAAAGTTTCTTGATTTTTTGTTTTGTATTCTTTTCTATTATGAACTATTTCTTTCCTTAAACATAATATCTAGAAATGAGAAAAGAATCATAATGATCCAAAGATTGCCAAAAAAAGACATCAGATAATCAATGCCACGAAGTTCTTTTCCTGATCCAGAGTAAGAACATAAGCACTTATTGAATAAATACATTCAGACATTTCTGCTAGATCACTACCAGAATCAATTCTAGAATGATCAGGAGAATTTCAGTATTCAAGCCATGTCCTCTTTAGCTGCATTACGTTTACTTTTCATTTTGGAAAAGAAAAATATCAGACAACAATGCACTCCACTGCTCCATTCTCCAGCAACACCCTGTTAAAAATAAATTTCCATTCAAAAGCTGATTTCAAATCAGATTTGAAGCAGCAAGTTATAAAGTAAAGGTTTCAGAATCAAACAGCTGGGATTCTAGTCATCACTATCTCTATGAGCTGAGTAGTAACCCTGGACCAATCACTTAGCATCCTCATCTCTGATAGGTAAACCAGGGGTAACAATACCTGCCCTTACCACCTTCAAAGGACTTGGGGTGGGATCAGTCATGATCATGTTTATGAAAGTTCTCTGAAAAGCACACAGTTCGTTATTATTACCTAGCTCTAAAATAACCATGTCCCTCATTAAAGTAAATTCTTAGGAATGGCTTACATTTTGTGCTTCAGAAATGTGGTAATAGGAATAGTCATTGTTAAGTGAGGTCTGGCCAGTTGGGGGGAGCTGAGCCGCAGGTGGAGCGTGAGGAAAACCTATCAAATGACCGTTCTTCTGAAAGCTTGTGGCCACTGTTGGCGGACTGGCTTTAGACGACTCCTGCAGATAACCTTCCTGCTCGACCTTCCGACGCATTGTAGAATTCCAGTGATTCTTGATAGCATTATCAGTTCTGCACAGAAATGCACGACATAAAAATTTTACAAGCAAATATTTAAATTCAGATTAAAGTTAAATGACAGAAACCTGTTCCTGGCAGAGATCTTTTCTTTGGAACTGCTACCAGTATTTGTTTTTTGTTTAATCATTTTGGTCTTCTCTAATTCCCTAAGATCATGCTTGCCCTATGGCCTAATTTAAAATCCAATGATTTTTCTTAATTATATAACTGGAATAGATGCACCTTTCTATACATTTTGGTATCTTTAGACCACTTCATTTCCTTGACAAAGGTGTATTCTCAACACAGTAACTCTTTGTGTTCATTCTGCTTGTGGTACAAGACTCTAGTGCAATTTACAATTTACAAGTTTCGGCTCGCCTAGAAAATTACTCTCAGGGGAGTGCGTTAGCAGGGCCTACACAATAGGTACTCGGTGAAGTTGCTACATGATGATGCTGCCACCGCCACCTCACTGTCCACTATTCATCTCTCATAGCACCAGTGAGACATTTTGAGTCAAGAAAAATCCCACTTTTTGAAAACCAACTGAACAGTTCTGTAACCAGATGGGTGACAGTGGAAAATGGGGCCCAGAAAGGAAAGATTCTAACCCTCAAAATATTTTCAAACTGCATAGCATTTTTACTAAAGTCTTTCAATTCTCAGGAAAACAGTTTCTCAATTCAAAAAACCGTTTTAAGCCTCCCTTTTACTATTTCGATGGGGGTGGGGGATGTAAGCAAAAGAAAGGGGAAGTTCAATTGCCCCTTTAATTTTTAGAAGAATCAACAGCATATCCCCTCAGACCATATGTGATAAGAGGCCTTCTTCTATTAAATTCTCTTAAGCTTATACTGAACTAGTAAGAAGGAAACACTATGGAGCGCCACAAGACATCAGTACACACACCCTATAGCCACAGCTTCCTGGAAATGACCCTCTGTCCACTTTTGGATATGAAGCTCGAGAAGAAAAAGATCTTTACTATTTTATGTTATTTTTGGATTGGAATACAGTATTTTCCAAATTCAACAAAATCTGTTTAAGTGGGGAATGTGGACAAAAATGATCACCCATAATTATCCTTCATAATGAGGTCATTTTCTTGTCTTGTTCATTACAAAGAAAGCATAACACCAGCATTATTTTAAAACCTGGAAGCTATATGAAAATTCTAGAAATTCAGTAATTGTTCACTCCAAAGAAAAAAATAATTAAGAAAAGTGGCATGCTAACATGAACACCATTATCATAGAAAATGGAGGCCAAGTTCTTTCTGGCCTCTTAATCAGCTGTGTGAATTCAGATCAGAGACAAAATGTCCTGAGTTTCCAACCATGTGTTTGGAGTTTGGTAGCTGACCAAGTGTTCTGACATTCATTTCACTTGATCCTAACATTAGCCCTATGAAGTAGATTATTACTCATTTTGCAAATGGAGAAATTGAGGCTGAAGAAGTTTAAAAGATTTGGCCCAGGGTTCACAGCTGGATGGATCACTGACTCTAATTCAAGTCTTCAACCAGAAAGCTGAAGATCTCTTCCAGTTCTAAAAGCTATGGTTCAATGAATTACAACTGACAGAATGTAATCTACTCACCATATATTTGAAACAGAACTTTCAATACCCACGCCCTCATTCTTCCCAATCAATATATTTTTTGACATATTATTACCGTCCAGGCAGTAGCTTTGCGATTTCTGCCCATCTGTTCCCCAGTCTCTTGTGTGCCTGGTAAATAATTCTGTCTTCCTCTTCTGTCCAGGAGGTTTTCTTAACTTCTGGATTCAAGTGGTTATGCCACCTCTCCCTACATTGTTTTCCAATTCTCCCCTTTAAGTGCTTGGCAATAACAGACCAACGTTTCGGACCGTATTTCTGTACAAGCTCTATAACCTTCAGATAAACACACAAAAATAACCTGTGTTTTAATGTTATGTAATGAGTCAATGTCATCATTCTTCAGTGTTATAAGATCTTTAGAAAAATTCTAAAAATCTGCTTTCATTCATTGGAAAGATGGGCATAGGGTCCTCTATTTCTTGTTTGCACACTTTACCTGTTTTCTTAAGCTGAAGACATACAACAAAGATATCTGGGGAATATTTTAAATTGTGAATAACATACCAGTGAAGAAAGAACTTACTCTCTGGTCTTCTTCTTTGGTCCAAGGACCCTTGATGAGCTCAGGGTTTAAAACTTTCTGCCATCGGTGCTGGCACTGCACATCTGTTCGATTCTAGTCCAATAAAATAAAATATGCACTGTCACATCTATTGATTTGATGTGTGCATGAAGACTTTGTTCCAATATGAATTATACAGACAATATACAGTGAAAACATTCAAGAACATATGAAAGCATGTTGGGAGAGCCCATATATCACTCAATACTTGTTGTTGTTGTTGTTGTTATGTGCCATTGAGTCAGACCCGACTCATAGCGACCCCTCCTTGGGTTTCCAAGGCAGTATCACTACAGAAGTAGATTGCCCCATCTGCCTTCCAAGGAGTGGCTGGTGGGTTTGAACCACCAGCCTTCTGGTTAGCAGTCAAATGCCTTAGCCACTATGCTACCAGAGCTCCCACTTACAACTAAAAAATAGACAAAGAAGGTATCAAAGTTGCATCTAAAATTAGAAGCTCTGCCCCTTGAGGGAAACAGTCCCCCCTTTGAACTAAAGGAACAGTGTAGATTGCACATGTGCCTGCCAATTTAACTTAAACTTAATCTCAGTCTGTTTCATGTGGAAGTACCTACATGACCTTAGGCTTGTTAGAGATTCATAGTTAATGTAAGAGTTTTATGGCAACTCATCCTAAGTGACTAAAGCTTGCTTCCCATTCAAAGTGACAAATGTGCTTTAATTCAGGGCCAGACTTTATATGGTAAAAGGAACATAGATGAATTAAAGATAGGTCCTACCTTAAAAAAAAAAAAAAAACAAACCAAACTCATTCCCACCGAGTGGATCTGACTTATAGTGACCCCTCCTTGGGTTTCTGAGGCAGTATCACTACTGCAGTAGATCATCCAACCCTCCTTCTGAGGAGTGGCTGGTGGGTTTGAACCTCCAGCCCTCTGGTTAGCAGTCAAATGCCTTAGGTGCTACACTACCAGAGCTCCTAGGCCCTACCGTATAGGAGCTTATGATGTTATAAGAAAGAACAAAAATTAAAATTAACTATACCGAAACCAAAAACCAAACCCAATGCCATCGAGTTGATTCCAACTCATAGCAACCCCCATTGGGTTTCTGAGGCAGTAAATCGTTATGGAAGTAGATTGCCCAGTCTTCCTTCTGCAGAGGGGCTGGTGGGTTTGAACTACCAACCTTCTGGTTAGCAGTCAAATGCCTTAGGCACTGAGCCACCAGAGTTCCTTATAAGAGAAGGCAAACTTTGATTCACTCCCAAGACCAACATGAAATGAGATTTGGGTGTAGAGAGGAGAGTTCTGAGGACAGAGAAATCATGTCTCCTTAGAAAAAAATCAGGAAAAGCTCTTGATATAGACTCTGAAGGATGGGCAGAAATTTAACTGGTGGAGAACTAAAGGGAGAATATTCTAGGCAGTAGAGTCATCAGGGACAAAAGCCCATAGGAGAAAAAGCAGAAATGAATTTAACCAAACCTGTCTACAGAGAGGAAGTAGGAAACAGAACTGGAGCTGAGTTGGGGCTGGAAAGAAGGGCTCTGGTGTGCCAGCCAGGTTGAGACAGTTTAATTTAATTTGGGAGACTAAAAGTTCCTGTTGTAGGTTTTGAAAAGATAAAGTACAGCAGCATTTTAGGACGTTTGATCTGCTAGTAGTGGGTGGGATGACTTAGAACACGGAAAGCTGCAAATACGGAGGCCAGTTAGCAGTGGTGTCCCTGGGGTTGGTGTCACCTGTCATGGTGACATGTCATGGTGTCATCCCCCCCATACCCATTCCAGGACATACCCCATACCAGAATAATATTATCAATTTTAATCACTGAAAACATGTGATAAATATAGTTGTAAATTGCTTAAATGTAATATTTCTTAGATCATAGGAATACAACAAAATTCTTTTGTAAAATCTTTCTACACTGAATTACAACATTAGTTACAACATTATTAGTAACTGAGTGGAAGCCTTGTTTTATTTTTCTCCTTTTCCTTTAATTACTACTTCATTTAAAAAAAAATTATTGATACAGGTTCACAAATCTTATTTACCACAATATGGTAGCAAAAACATTTGACAAAATCGGCAACTACGAAAACACCAGCAGCAAGGAAAACAGCAGCACGTGCCTGTAGCATGTACAGATGACACCACATGATTCAAAGCATCTTTGTAATTGGGCAATGACAGCTCCGACTGAAGCATGTCAGAAAGCTCAGAAAGTAAATCAGCATAGACTTCTAGCATTGTAGGTATACTGATAAATGTAAGCTGGGCTTATGAAAATATTTTTGTTGTTATAACTAACTACAGGGATATTTTTATTTAAAAAATAATCATAAATTTATGCTGAAACAATGCACAAAATTTTACAGACAGTCATTTTGGTCTCTCCTCTTTGGATGGTGTCACCTGGTACGGTCTGTACCCTCATACCCTCTAGTGACACCACTTGCTAGAGGAGGCACTGTAATAGTCAAGTGAGAGGGAGAGAGCCTTACCTCTAGAAGCGGTGATGAGAATAAAAAGGAAAGGACCGATGACAAAGGAATTCCAGTCTCACAATTTAAATACTTAGCAAATGCTTGTGTGTAGAGGACGAAGGGGTATGGTATATCTAAAACAATTCCAACATTCTAAACCTGGGTGCCAAAGGTATGGCTATTAACAATAGGGAATTTAGAAGAAGCTGACTTGGGAGAAATATCATAAGTTTAGTCATTTATCATATAATAAATCATCAAAATGCTAATTATAGTATCTAACCAAATGAAAATATAAAACAAAAAGCAAACTTTTCAAAAAAGTTCCAGAAATCCTTCAGTAATTTATCTAGAAATCCCAATTACATGATGCACAACAATATAAAATATTAGTTACAGATGGGGTATTTCTCCTCCCTACTTCTTATATGGAAGCAAATATGTAATATCTTAGTATCTTCTCCTTGTTGTTGTTGTTGTTGTTATGTGCCGTCGATTTGGACCCAACTCATAGCTACACCTCCTTGGGTTTCCGAGGCAGTATCACTACGCAAGTAGATTGCCCCATCTTCCTTCCGAGAAGTGACTGGTGGGTTTGAACCGCCAGCCTTCTGGTTAGCAGTCAAGTGCCTTAGGCACTACGCTACCAGAGCTCCCAGAATTCCTTATTCAAATATTTGAATATTCAAATATTCCCTTTTGCAAAAATAAAAGAAAAACTACTAACTTACCGGGAGATAATTGGCAATAACCTTCCAGTCGTCTGTTCCATTCTGTTCTACCAGCTTCTTTAGTTTTTCATCCTAAAACATTTAAAGGTACTCCTAGGACATCGGTTATTTACTATATAACTCTATTCAACTTAGAATAAAAGAGGCAAGCAATCCAATAAACCAATCCAGAAGAAAAAAAAAAAAAATCTCTCAAAAATATCCAAATAAAACAGCTATTAATGTGATGTACTGGTTTAAAAGATAGACTTATTTAGAGTCACACAGACAAGATTTTGAATTTGGGCTCAGCTGCTGATTAGTTGTATAAATTTGGATAAATAACTTTACCTTTCTGGGCCTTTGTGTTAAAAAACAAAACAAAAAAAATGAAACTCATTGTCATCAAATCAATTCTGACTCATAGCGACCCTATAGGATAGAATAGAACTGCCCAATAGGGTTTCCAAGGCTATAAATCTTTACAGGAACAGACAGCTACATTACTATCATCTAGAAAGCGGGAAAGCTGATATCCATAGGGTTATTTGGGAATTACATGAGGTAATCATGTCAAATATTAAGCAATAATGCCTAGCACATATTGAGTTCTGAGTATAGGGTAACTATTCAAAGTTTTACTTTGTCGAGAAAAAATAATGGACTTCAATATTAGATTTAGCAGACATTTAACTATCATAACATATAGGATCTCAAGTAAAAAACAGTATTTTCAGTCAGCTCAACCTCTTTCATACAAAAAATGGAAGATCACTTTTTAATTAAGCTTGAAAAGCATGTATGATGTAAGAAAACTGTTCAGTTCTTGTATCAATATATTCATAAATTAAATGAGGTCAGCTCACTAGAGCACAGAGGATACTAACATCAGTGGGTGATCTGTTCTTTCAGTTTAAAGACTGTTTAGTTGTTCCACACGTTCTCTAGTGCCTTTCTATATGTGTTCCTTCAAGAGAATAACCTTATATTTCTGCAAAGGCAACATCTGCATACAATGTGGGCCACTAGTGCAATACAGACACAGGGATTAGGAACTAGTAGTGTTAATGAAAGAACTTCTACATCTTTAAGGATCATCCAAGAACAATGCTTCCTATGGGCATTCATTATTGGCCTCAACACCTTCCTGCTGATAGGCGCTCTGGTTTAAATGAAGCAGGGGTGAATGGAATCGAAGAAGAGTTAATATCATTTATTTTAATATGAATCCTTTAAAATTAGTTGCAAAAGATTTTGAGAACATTAAGGAAAAAGAAACTTTTCCCCACACATTAGTAATTTTGCTACCTAAGTATTTTCCCATTCCTAAAAATATCATGTTTTAATAAACTAGCAGAAAAAGAAATGTGGGAATCAGACACATCTCCATCTACTATTGAATGCTGTTAAAATACACCATTTGTCATTGAGTCTATTTTGACTCACAGCCACCCTACATGACAGAGTAGAACTGCCCCATAGGGTTTCCAAGGTTGAAATCTTAGTGAAAGCAAACTGCCACATCTTTCTCCTGTGCAGAGCAACTGGTAAGTTCAAACAGTCAACCATGCAGTTAGCAGCTGAGTGCTTTAACCAATGCACCACCAGGGCTCCTATACACACATGTATACAGCTCTGTAAAATATTATAGACCAAGACTATTAAGTGAATATGTTACAACAAGATGAGTTCTATGAGGATTTTTTTTCTTTGTTTTTTTGTAAACAGCAATTCATTCATTTTGAGAACATTTATTCATATTCCAGCTTGTGTCAAGTAATTCTGTGTTCAGGGAACACAAAGTAGAGTTGATGGTTAGCCCTGCCCTCAACAGGCTTGCAGACTATTGGGGGAGGTATATATGTTACAGCAATGATGAAACCTATGGCAAGACATGAACTCAGCTGCATGGACCCAGAGGAGCAGGCATCCACTCTGTTTGGGAAGGGGAGGGATGGGTTCACAGGAGAGGTGATGTGTGAGGAGGTAAGGTAGTAAGTAGGTAGTAAGAGGTTGTGGGCCAACACAGTAGGCAGAGGGAAACACAGATGCAGCCTAAAGTGAGGAAGAGAGGACATTCATTCATTGAGCTGCAAATAGTTTGGAAATAGATGGTGGAGCAACAATCCAGGGAGTAGTGAGAGGTGAAGCTGCAAAGGCAGGCAAACACAGGATCACAAAGAGCCTGCGAATGAGTCTGACACCTGTGGCTTAGCTGAATTTTGTTTCTCATAAACTGGCACACTGAAGACTTTATTCATGTTTTGATAAAGTGATGAGTTTACCTCTTCCCTGGTCCATCTAGTTTTTCCCAAGTGACGCTTTCCAGACTTGGGAAGCAGCCCATCATAGTCATGATCACACATCTCAATGTCTTCATCATCCTCATCACTACTGTATATGCTGTCAGAGAGAGAAAATGGGCAGATGTAAGCTGAAACAAGAGGATTTAGCCTATTGGATTACAAAACTTACATAAAAACTCCTCAACAACCTTTTCAAAGGTTATGAAGATAAAACTCTGAAAACTTGCACAACAAGATTTTATTCAGCATTCTGTTCCTGTAGCATTGTAAACTGGTTCTGCTGTTATTCGTATCCACAGATACAGCAAAGGACCTGGCACTTTCTTATTACTCTGCATGTTTAAACCTGTTGTTACTGTTAGACCAGTGACAAGTTACACATTTGGCAATCTTCCCACCAATGAAAGTTTAACTTTAAAACTTAATGTTAAAGACAATAAAAGGAACAAGAGCCCATGTCCTTCATATAAGAACACACTCCAAATCTCTGGCATACATCACATCGTTTAAATGATACTTCCCAAACACAATAAACAACTCAGTTATGTTATTTCAAGGAACTGGTGATTTATCCAAAGAGAAAAAAATTCAAGTTGTAATACACTCAGTAAGATCATTATAAATCATCCCTTAAAGATTAGAGGATTAGAAGAATCTAAAAGGATGGATTTAAAAACCTGAGGAGGAATAAGACCCTTATATGACAAATTGTTTCGTAAATAACATTAATATCAAACTGTTCAAAACTCAGGCTCAGGTAGATCCAACCTGTGGCTATGCTTATAGTACTCAGTTTCCAAAGAAACCAAGTGAATCATTAAGCCACTTGATATCAGAATGTTACTTACTCCTCTGTTTTTACTGCCTCTCACTGAATGGTGTTTGAAATATCCCAAATTGCATCTCATTCAAAACCCAGAAGAAATCCAGAGGTTTAAAAGGAACCCACAACTGTTTTTAAACTGTTTTTACTGCCTCTCACTGAATGGTGTTTGAAATATCCCAAATTGCATCTCATTCAAAACCCAGAAGAAATCCAGAGGTTTAAAAGGAACCCACAACTGTTTTTAAAAGAATTTGGATGACTTTTTAAGTAACTCTACATTTAGTGTTTATTAATCATATACTGAATAGGTGAGAGTTATTTCACAGATACATTTACTTTTAGTTAAAATTTTACTTACAAAACTTAAATTTTGAGGAAAATTATACTAACTCGGAAACATCACTAGCATCGTAATATAGAGAAATCCATCAAATTGGAACAATAATAATAATGATATAAAGCAATGTTATAATGTAAATCATTATTTAAAACAAAATAAACATATTTATATCCACATCAGCTTTTATCTTCCCAAACTAATTCACGTATGTATATTACTGAACCCCTACAGGTTAGAGTGTCTGCCAACAATCCTGAATGTGGGGTCCTTATAATTTAAACCCATTTTTTTGGGCAACAATCTGAAGACGCAGGATGGATGGGGACAGGATAGATCCACATTTTAAATGTTACCACAAGGAAGCCCACTAAAGTGTTTTTATAATCTGTAATCATTTCTTTTAGCATCTATCCTTTTAAACAAGAACCTAGTTCTATTTCACACTGTAAACAGGAGTCACTAAACAATTTCTGGTTAACAATACTTACAATAGTTTGCTTTTCATATAAAATACAAGCATTGTAGAGCAATATATATATATGTGTGTGTGTGTGTGTGTGTGTGTGTGTGTGTATATATATATATATATATATATATATATATATATATATATGTATATTTAGAGCTGTAGGTCAGCATCTTTTGAAAGGTTCATAGGGAATTCCTAGGAAAGCCCCCAAATGAAGTGGCCTCTTGTGAAACATCAGGGATACCAAGAAAAGCAAAGTAATATGAACAGGGAGTCACAGATTCAATTCGTTTTAACTTTCTAGATTTCACTGCACTGGAGATCCCAATTTCAGAACTGAAGAGTACATTTTCCAAACTAGTGATTGGGTACATCTCTCTTGGAAACAGCTTACCACACAGGTGCAAGTAACATACTCAACTGCCCACAGGGGGCAGCCAACAGCAGGTGAGAGAGAAGGAATCAACCAGAACCGGGATTCTGGAGGCAAAGGTGTCAGTCCTAGTTCTGCCTTCATCCAGCTGCCTGACTTGAACAAATCACTTCCTCTCCCTAGGACCTCAATTTCCTTGCCTCTGAAGAAGGACTTAGATTCCCTTCCTAGGGTACTTTTCAGCGCTAATAATGGGTGATTCCACTTCTTGGTACCACCGAAAAATTAAGTACAGAAAGACATGTGCAAAACCAGGTCTTGGGGGAAAATGTGGTGTGTGACTTTTGCAGGCCCCAAGGGGGCCACGAGGGGAGCAGGGCGAGTGCAGGGGTCTCCCAGTCAGGTCCCTGAAAATCAGCAGGCTTGGCAGGGAGGCCCGCGTTTCGTGCGATTTCCTCGTTGCTCACTGTCCAGGTCGCCTCCGTAACCTGATCAATTTCTACTAAGAACCTGAAATAACTTTTCCTTTTTTTGCTCTGACAAGATCTCAGACCTAACAGTCAGAGGACTTTCAAAGGCTGATTTCAGGCTTGATACACCTGCCAGACCCGGTGTGGTTACAGGAGTACAACTATGAATATTACATTCTGTCAAGGAAACAAACCGTGCAAAGAAACGAAAAAGACAAGGGGGGCTAGGGGTTGGGAAGCGGGAGGGGAGCGGGAGGAAGTGTCTTGTGGCTGCTACTGTGATTCTAGAAAAGGGGTTTAGACTCATTTCGCTGACCTGTTTAATAATGTCTGCGGAGTTGAGGTTCTGCCTACAAGAAATGGCTTTGGGCCCGCAGCCGCGTTTCTCTTCCCCCTCCCTGAGGCAAGTTCAAGGCTCCCACACCTCCTGGCCGCCACCCCTCTCTGCTACCTGAGAGCCGCAGGCAATCCGCAAGGCACCGCCCCGCGAGGGCAGCCGAGACCTCGGGGCGCAGGGCCTCCACCCGCGCGCCTCCTCCCAATTTACTCCTCCTCCCAGTTTCTACTCTCTCTCAAAAAAAAAAAAAAAAAAGGTGCCCCCGGCTACTCTGTGAAGATGAAACCCCTCAAGGGCCAGCTCCCGGTCCAGGGTGGCCTGGTCCCCGGCAAGGCGCACGGATTCGGGGATCCCCCCAAGTCGCCACCCTTCCTCTCCCGCGTCCAGCCATGCCTTGGAGTTGCTCCCCGGCCGGGCAGGCCCTGGGGTGCAGCTGCAGGGCCCACACTCACGCTCTTTGCAACTTCCCAGAGCCATGCGAGAACAGCGACCGCTGGTTCAAGCACAAGTACAAGAAAATTTCAACAACCTCGAAGAAAAGCAGGTGGGTGTGCTTTGCCCCACTACTTTACCCCAGAGTCCCTTCGCGAGGGTCAGTCCCCTCACCGGGTCACAGCTCGAACGGATTAAGGTGGCGGGCGCGGGGCGCAGGAGGAGCGGTGACCTCAGCTGCGTCCACGTGTGCGCGCGGCGCCGGGACCTCTAGCCCAGGGGAAGGGCCAGCGGGGATTGCGTCCCGGTTGCGCGGCAGCCGCCTGAGTGCTGCAATCCTGGTCCTTTTCTACAGAGTGGCGCCTGTGACGGCCACCTGGCTACTCCCTGCCCACGACCGCTTGCAGCAAGCTCCGGCGCGCCCAAACCCAGAAGTTGAGAAGCCTGTGGGAGCTGGAACGCCAGCAACTGACAGCTCGGACGAGCGTCTCCTTCAATCTTTGTTCCCTCTTCCCATCCGCCCGGCTCAAATGTAGGGAATTTCACCCATCGTCCAGGCGAGCCTCCCCAAGTGCAGTGACATGTGCGACGCGGGCGTGTGTGTGTCTGTGTGTGCGCATACGCAATGTTTGGGTTAGAAATAAAAATCTCTCTGCGAATAATTAGAACCTCCAAACCAGGGCTGTAATCAATTTGCGAAAGTAGCGACCCTTTTCTTCCCCTAAAATCTTCTTCCCTGCCGCCTGTCAGCTGACACTCTTCTTCGTTTCCACAAAGAATGAATGAAATTTAAATGAACTACCTGCAGCTACTAAACAATCCGACATTTTCCCTACATCTGCCATATGCTCTGCACTTCCAAGCCCAAACATATCTCTGCGCATCCAGCAATTACACGGCGACTCCCTCACCGACACCCGCGGCATCCAGCCAGGCACCTGGTGGACTCCCTGGGGCTGGTGGGCACCACTCTGCCTTCAGTTGGAACGTGCTTATATTCCCCTAAGAGCAGTGCATCCCCGTACAACTTGCAAAAAGAGCCGCAGGGCGTCCTTCCCAACGTCCTGCCACATTTCCTTAATAGACAGTCATCGCTCTGGTCTTTGGAGCGGCTGCTGCTGTTGCCCAGGCTGGGGCTCCAGGTCCTCGCGGTATCTGACAGCCCCGGAGTAACGCCGAGAACGAATTCCCACCTGCTCTCGGGCGCCTCCCGCCCCGCGCGCTCCCGCCC